TTATTGCTAATTACAAACTACAAGCTTTCTTTTGATCTAACCTTTCTCAACACACTACACTGACATAGTCCAGATCTCCTTGTTTTTACCCCAGGCTGTTCCCATCTGGGCTAGTCTCAAGAACGATCAGCAAAGGTGTAGGCAGCGTTCATGCCTGATGCCAGCCCGGTGTTCCAAAGTCCATGCCTTCATGATCCCAGTCATACTCCCTTCTGGGTTTGGCCTTGAGGTTTGTAGTGAGGAGATTATTCTTAAGAAAAACACAGTTTCTTAATATATGCTGTTTTTCCAGGTGAAATTTCTATGAAATTTCTCAGGGCTGTGAAAGTACATTATCAGGAATTCCCACTACATTCACCCAGACATTCATCTCTTCTTGAAACTAAATTTCAAGGAAAATCTAGTACTCCAGACAGAGATTTAACCACAGACTAAAACTCAGGCTCATCCGTAATAACGGGAGATCCAAGATCCACCCAGAATCATCTGGACTCTCTGAGGAGGCAGAGGGCACAAGCAACCTTCTGCTAGTGATAAAGCTAGAGATCCTCATGGAGTTTAGGTGAAGGGGAGAAGTATGTTTCTGGTTCCTTTGCTGGTCACCAAACGAAAATTTTTGACTGGAAAACAAATGCACAAGCTAAAAGTTTCAAGTTATGTTTTATCTGGGGACCTTACTCAGGACTACAACCTGGGAGACAGGATCTCAGAGAGTTTTGAGGAACTCTTACAGAGAGGAAAGAAAGGATTCAAGATATCTGGAGTTTTTACTGAGAGGAAACTGTAGTAGGAGCACATCAAAGTTACCTCTGAGAATAATTTTAAAAAGAAACAAAACAGTCATCTCAAGTTAATGATGTTAATGCCTTTCGATGTGTGGTAAGATACAAGTGTCTAGGCTCACTGAAATTATTCCTTTGATATGCATCATAACTACTGGGCCAGTATCCTGTTTTTCTCCATCCTGAATCCCCTCTCAAGCTCTAATGGCTTCATGGTGAGCAATATTCATTGCTTACCAAAATGTCAGGTAAGATTTTTTTCTCTGCAAGAACAAATCTTCCATTCTTCCCAAGATAAAAATACTTGTTTCCTTGGTATTTTTCTGGACTTTTTGTTTCTTTGGTTTTTTTCTAATTATATTCATCTTATCTATTTACTGAGCAGAGGAATTTTATTTTCACTTTGATATACTATATTGTTTTTCCTTGAAACTGACATGAGTTTTTCCATTATATTTTTCAGAACAACTCATGAAAGAAAATGGTAAGTTTTATGACTTTTTAAATAAGATTTATTTCCTAGATCTATTTTTCCTGTTATTTTATTTTCTATATTGGTTTTCCTTGAAACTGACACGAGTTTTCCATTATATTTTTCAGAACAACTCACGAAAGAAAATGGTAAGTTTTATGACTTTTGTAAAAAGATTTATATCCTAGATATAGTTTTCCTCTTACTTTATTTTCTTATTGATTTTCCTGAAAACTTACATGAGTTTTTCCATTATATTTTTCAGAACAACTCAAGAAAGGAAATGGTAAGTTTTATGACACTTTTAACCAGAGTTCTTTTCTAGATATATTTTTCCTCTTATTTTATATTCTATATTGGTTTTCCTTGAAATTGACATGAGTTTTCCATTACAATTTTCAGAACAACTCACAAAACAAAAGGGTAAGTTTTACTACTTTTTTTAAAAGATTTATTTCCTAGATATATTTTTCCTCTTATTTTATTTTCTATATTGGTTTTCCTTGAAATTGACATGAGTTTTTCTGCTATATTTTTCAGAATAACTCACAAAAGAAAATGGTAATTTTATGAGTTTTTAATGACATTTATATCTTAGATATATTTTTCCTCATTTTATTTTCTATATTGGTTTTCCTTGAAATTTGCATGAGTTTTCCATTACAATTTTCAGAACAACTCACAAAACAAAAGGGTAAGTTTTACTACTTTTTTTTAAAGATTTATTTCCTAGATATATTTTTCCTCTTATTTTATTTTCTATATTGGTTTTCCTTGAAATTTGCATGAGTTTTTCCATTATATTTTTCAGAACAACTCAAGAAAAATATTGGTAAGTTTTATTACTTTCTTAAAAAGATTTATTTCCTTGATATATTTTTCTTCTTATCTTATTTTCTATATTGGTGTTCCTTGAAATTGACTTGACTTTTTCCATTATATTTTTCAGAACAACTCATGAAAGAAAATAGTAAGTTTTATTATTTTTTTAAAAAGACTTATTTCCTACATATATTTTTGCTCTTATCTTATTTTCTATATTGGTTTTCCTTTCAATTCACATGAGTTTTTCCATTATAATTTTCAGAACAACTCATGATAGAAAATGGTAACTTTTATGACTTATTTAAAAAGATCAATTTCCTAGATATATTTTTTCTCTTATTTTATTTTCCATATCGGTTTTCTTTTCAATTTACATGAGTTTTTCCATTATATTTTTCAGAACAACTCATGAAAGAAAATGGTAAGTTTTATGACTTTTTAAATAAGATTTATTTCCTAGATCTATTTTTCCTGTTATTTTATTTTCTATATTGGTTTTCCTTGAAACTGACACGAGTTTTCCATTATATTTTTCAGAACAACTCACGAAAGAAAAGGGTAAATTTTATGACTTTTTTCAAAAGATATATTTCCTAGATATACTTTTCCTCTCATCTTATTTGCTACACTGGTTTTCCTTGAAATTTGCATGAGTTTTTCCATTTTATTTTCAGAACAACTCAAGAAGGAAATTGGTAAGTTTTATGATTTTTTTTTAAAGATTTATTTCTTAAATATATTTTTCCTGTTGTTTTATTTTCTATATTGGTTTTCCTTGAAATTAATACGAGTTTTCCGTTATATTTTTCAGAACTACTCACAAAAGAAAAGGGTAAGTTTTATGATTTTTTAAAAACATTTCTTTTCTAGATATATTTTTCCTCTTATTTTATTTTCTATGTTGGTTTTCCTTGAGATTGACACGAGGTTTCCATTATATTTTTCAGTACAACTCATGAAAGAAAAGGGTAAGTTTAATGACTTTTTTAAAAAGATTAATTTCCTTGATATATTTTTCCTCTTATTTTTTTTCTATATGAGTTTTCCTTGAAATTGACATGAATTTTTCCATTATATTTTTCAGAACAGCTCATGAAAGAAAATGATAAGTTTTATGACTTTTTAATAAGATTTATTTCCTAGATATATTTTTGCTCTTATCTTATTTTCTATATTGGTTTTCCTTGAAATTGAAATGAGTTGTTCCATTATATTTTTCAGAACAGTGCACAAAAGAAAAGGGTAAATTTTATGCTTTTTTAAAAAAGGTTTATTTCCTAGATAAATTTTTTCCTCTTATTTTATATTCTGTATTGGTTTTCCTTGAAATTTACACAAGTTTTTCCATTTTATTTTCAGAACAACTCAAGAAGGAAATTGGTAAGTTTTATGATTTTTTTAAAAAGATTATTTCCTAGATATATTTTTCCTCTTACGACTTTCACCTCTTACATACCGCTGCTTTCCTTTGCCTTCCTGTGGATTTGAATTTACCTTATCCATTTACTTTTTTGCTTCATTAATTCCTCCTATATTAAGTATCTTAATTCTCTCCTCTAGCTTTTATTCTTTCCTTTTTATTTCATCTTCCTGGTGATCACCATTGAAGGAAACTTATGACCAACCTGGATAGCATATTTAAAAGCAGAGTCATTACTTTGACATCAAAGGTCCGTCTAGTCAAGGCTACGTTTTTTTCAGTAGTCATGTAAGGATGTGAGAGTTGGACTATAAAGAAAGCTGAGCACCAAAGAATTGATGCTTTTAAACTGTGGTGTTGGAGAAGACACTTGAGAGTCCGTTGGACTGCAAGAAGATCCAACCAGTCCATCCTAAAGGAGATCAGTCCTGGGTATTCTTTGGAAGGACTGATGTTTAAGCTGAAACTCCAATACTTTGGCCACCTCATGCGAAGAGTTGACTCACTGGAAAAGATCCTAATGCTGCGACTGATTGGCGACAGGAGGAGAAGGGTATGACAGAGGATGAGATGACTGGATGGCATCACCGACTGGATGGACATGGGTTTGGGTTGACTCCCGGAGTTGGTGATGGACAGGGAGGCCTGGCGTGCTGCGATTCATGAAGTCGCAAAGAGTCGGACATGACTGAGCAACTGAAATGAACTGAACTGAGGTTTTATTCTTTCCTTTTTATCTTATGTTCCTAGAGATTACCATGACTTCATTATAAGGTTGGTCGAAAAAAAAAAAATTGGTATCATCAAAGGGATTAGGCTAAAAAGAATGTGGTTATTTCCATTCAATAGAAAGCTTTTTTTAACTTCATTTTTTTCTCATGTGCTCTGAGATGGAGTCCCCATTTTTTATATATATTACATTCTTTCAAATTAAGAACAGTGTTCAGACTCCAAAGCTGCTGAATAAATTCCTTCTTTGTTGACCTTTCAAACACTTTGCATATACTAATATCAGGTAATCTTGATACACTTTGCTTGACCATACTCTCCAGTGATCTAAAGTATATAAATATTTTTACATGAATTTGCATCATTTTTTCTATCCAAGCAAAATTATTACTGTTTATTTTTTTTATTTTAACTATTTAATAGCTAGTTCAACAAATTTTTCTTCCTTCAGGGTCTTGAACATACATTTTTGAGTCACTCAAACAAACTTCATTGGTAATTTACATGTAAATTCTATGGCTATCTTCTAAATTAATTCTACATTATTTTTAGTAACCCACTACAAGAATTATTAAGTCTTCATGCCCTTTCATATCTGATTATACGCTTCAAATTATAGTGAAGTTTCTAGATGGAATGAACTTTACACATTTCTTTCTTTGCTTTTGAAATGGACATTACTTAGCAAGTTTCAGACACAAATATTGAGTGATGCATGGCATTACTTGCATCTTCTTTATGATGTTAAGAACATCTGTTTATATATAAATGCATGATTTTGTATTTTCTTTCAGAGAGGAAGAAGGCTCAATTCAAGTCTGGTGAGTAATGATTATCTCTCAGACACCTTTACTGTTCTGTTTTTCTTAGGTTCTGCCCTTACCCTAGTGGGATAGAATGCAAAAATATTTTTAAAAAAAAATGCTTAGTGTAAGCAAAACAGCACTGGAAGTGGTATCTTTATAAATATCAATGCTTTCAATAAATTCCCTCTGAAGTGAAGCAACTACTGATCACTCAGCATGTAATTCCTCTCCCTTTAGTTTATTTGTTCCTTCCTACTGTCTATGCTCCTTCCTTCATGCTTCTATCCCTGCCACCTTTGTTGTTTCTATATTTCTATCTACCATTCACCTGATAATTTTATCACCATGTTTGAAAATTGGAATATGAGGATATAGCATAAAAAAAGAAAGTTCAAAGGATTCAGTAGAAGAAATAGAACAAAGACAAGTATTTCTTATATTTGCTTTTAATGTAACAAAAAAGATAATGAAAGAAGACATGCAAGAATAAAAGTTAAGTTTTTTCTATTTTGTTCTTTTGCAGCATGGAGGGAAATACCATTTAATCCCAGTGAGCAACATGGACTTGGATGGAGAAAATTCTATTATCAAAGATATTTTAAAAGAACACCTACTGTGTGCAAAATGATTTGCTGAAAATCAAGGAAATTCCAAGGCTTTATTCCATGAATTCAGTAGATTACTCATTATTCTAATATATAATAATGGGTTTAAAACATTACATTTTAATAGTTTTATTATTTTTAGTTGCATATAACATTGTGTTTTGAGTGAAGGTAAAATGATTATCATCTACTAAAATCTGAAGAATCTACAGTGAACAGTAAGTTATTTGATCAGACCCATCATATCCTGTATTTCCTTTCAGACATTCTAAATAGATTACAAATATTTTTCCTGTATGAATTTTGAATGAGGAGAGCATAGCATTGGCACAGGTCTTGAAGTCATACATAGTTTAACATCTTGTAAAAAGAGGTTCAAGTATATAAAAAGAGGTTGGTTTTTCCTATCTTTTTTGGGTGCTGTTATTCTTCGATTAAGAAGTTTATTAACATAGTATTCTGAACAGACAGGAGGCTCTCTCTGTCAGATGGTGGATTCTTATGTTCATTTGATTTTTGCAGACTGGAGGAAAGAAGAGTTCAAGACGGGTGAGTCTGTAACGATTCAAGAGAGACCCAGCTCCTTGTGGGGTAGTCCCAGGGAAGATGGAGGTGGGGGGTGGGGGGTAGCGGTGGGGAGGTGAACTGGATGTTCCCAGGGCCAGAGGAGCCCTCACAGAAGGGAGACTCTGGCCTAAGCCTCCTGAGACCCTCCCGGAAATCTGATGATCTCTTGTCTTTGCAGTAAATCTGACTCTGGATGCAGCCACTGCCCATCCTGCCCTCTTCCTGTCTGAAGAGGGGAAAAGAGTAACCTGGCAAGAACCATGTCAGGATCTTCCCAGCTGCTCAGAGAGATTTGTCTCCCTTCCCTGTGTGCTTGGTCAGTTGCACATCAGCTCAAGGAGATACTTCTGGGAGGTGGAGGTTCAGAACACACATTCCTGGGACCTGGGAGTTTGTAGGAATAATGTAGCAAGGGATGGGAGGATCACAATGTCACCACAGAATGGCTTCTGGGCCATCAGTCTCTATGACAGGGAGTACTGGGGCCTCACATCCCCAGAAACTTCTCTTACTCTAAAAGAAAAACCCTGTAGGGTGGGAGTATTCCTGGATTATGAGGCTGGAGATGTATCTTTCTATAACATGACAGATGAATCCCACATATTCACCTTTTCCAAACAAAAATTTTATGGTGTCCTAAGACCACTTTTTAGACTTTGGTCCTCTGACTCAGGCCCTCTGATCACTGTACAGATGGACTAGAAAACAATGATGCTGTAATTCATATGCCTAACCTTCCATGATGAGTACAATTCTCCCCTCTAAACACAAATTTATATTTTTCTTCCTCCTTTACTGATTTATTCTAAGTTGAAGCTCTGATACACAGACTGATGGTTGTCTCCCATATTATTTCTCCCTTCTTTCTAAGTTATAGGTCCCTCTTCTTATCACTCTGCCTATGACAGCCTAGCACAAAGATTAGATTTCCTCAAATCCCCTGCTGAATGTGACTAAATTATGACCAGTGTATTTTAAGATGAATTATCCTGTATGACTCTTTGGAAAAGACCCTGATCCTGGGAAAGATTGAGGGCAGAAGGAGCAGAGGTTGAAAGAGGATGAGGTGGTTGGATGGCATCACTGACTCAATGGATATGAACTTGGGCAAACTCTGGCAGAGAGTGAGGGACAAGGAAGCCTGGTGTGCTGTAGTCTGTGGGGTTCGGAAAAGTTGGACGCGACTTGTCAACTAAACAACAACATTCAGGTATGATCTCTGGAATGTGTTCTTAAAGGAAAACTATGTGATTTTCTTCTTTTCTCTAACTATTTGAATGGCCAGAATGTGGCATGATGGTTGGATCTCTAAGAACACCTCTGATCATGTAATATGATACAGACAGAAAAGAAGATATTAATAGAATAAATCTAGAGTTTTGACAGCTTTATGAAACTACTATATGCTCACTTTCTGAATTACTCCCAGTAACAAATAAATTTTATATCTTTAAACCATTTGTATGCTGTATTTTTTTTCCGTTGTGACTGAATCCAGTACTAACTCAAGCACGCTCCCTCTAAGGATGGTAGCACGTGACTTCCACAGTTGAATATTCAGAGGAAACAGGAAATGTAAAGCCCTGTACTTGCTTGCTCAGCTACTCCAGTGTGTCAGTCTCATTTAGGGTCTTTCAATTTCTCCTGAATCCTCAGTCCCTCTTGACTTTACTTCCTACCTTCTTCTTTGTGGTTACCATGGTTAATAATTTTAAGTATTATCTTATTAGTGAGTAAAAATCCCTGGCCTCATTGCACTTATATCACATGTACTTGAACAAAAACTCCAAATACGGATAAATTTAATTACTCATCTCTCATACTGGCAGTTAAACATGCTATACAAATCCACACATTTGAGCAGACTGTTCCTCTTTACATGTGTGATTACCTATCACAACTTGGACACCAGTACTATCAAGTAATCCTCTCATTCATTAAAAAAATCTACCTTCATTCAACTTCTAAATCTACTCCCACCTTATACTCAATATATGACTGTTCCCACTCTGAAAAATAATATTAATGGCAATACTCAATTAGAAGACAATTATGTCATCTTTGTAATAATAAATATAACAAATCTGAATCTCTACCTGTCCATTACTCCTCCCTCCCTGTATTATTAAGAGAAGTATTTCCCTTTCTTCAAAGGGAACACCAAACCATCTTTATCTCCATTCATTCTGTACTGTGCTCTCTGGACTTCAATCCTTCAGTTGTTCCTCTCAGACTTTCCACAAGCCTTTGTCCATGAATCTTATGTTTTTCAAAGTCTCATCCACCTTAAAAATCAAAACAATACAATTTTCTATCAACTCTAGATCCTCCTATATACTCTTCTATCTTTCATAAATTTCTCAAAATAATTATTTAAAAACTGAGGTTGTATTTCTCTGATTCCCATTTCCTTCTGAATATACTCTGTTATGGGTTAAACTATATCTCCCTCATCACCTCTCCTAAATTCATGTAATGAAAGCCCTAACGTCCAGTACCTCAGAATGTGACTTTATTTGGAAATAGGGTCATTGCAGGTATCATTAAAGATGGAGTAGAATGCATCCCTAATACAGTAAGACTGTTGACCTTAAAAAAGGGGGGAAATTTAGACATCCACATAGGCACAAGGAGAATGCCATGTGAAGTTTGAAGTCTGCTTCCACAGACAAGGAATGTCCAATATCGCTAACAAAATATCAGCTGCTAGGAGAGAAGCTTGAAAGAGATTTCTCCCCAACACCTTCAGAAAGAGCATAGCCCTGCCACAGCTTAGTATCACAATTGTTTACCCCCAGAACTGTGATAAAATAAACTTCAGTCGTTTAAGGTACTCAATGTGTGATACTTCATTATAGTTTATTAATAGTCCCAGTTAGCCAATGTACTCTTTTTTATATTGTTTTTTTAAACACAATCTGATCATTTAGTCTTTAAAAAAAAATAATTACCCAAAACCTGTTACAGAAACACCAGAGAATTTCTGCATTTATATAAACTTCATGAAATTGTTGAAAATCAATAGAGGAAAAAATTTTTAAATTCTATGACTCTGATGAATTTATGTAAACTACTTAATTCTATGATAATTATGTCTGTATTTCAGTGTTCATAGTTCCACATGCCTTAATACCCATTGTTTCATGATGAAGCTATCAATATCCTTAAGTCTTATTTTATAGATGAGTAAAGTAAGGCTTTGATTATTTATATTGTTATCAGACTTTTAATATTTTCCAAAGTCATGCATTTACTAGATGCCAGAACTGGAACTAGAATCTTAGTCATTTAACGTCACAAATCCAAGGCAACTTTTGCTAAACAACTCACTCTTTTCTTATTTATATAGACCAAAGCATCACGATACATATACTGCATGCTGAGGACCAGTTACAGGTTTATGATTAAAGAAGTAAAATAAACAGCAGTGTGACAAAAGAAAGTTATAGTAAATGTATGCATGCTATGCTAAGTTCCTTCAGTTGTGTCCAACTCTTTGTGCCCTCATGGACTGAAGCCCATCAGTCTCCTCTGTTCATGGATTTCTCCAGGAAAGAATACTGGAGTGGATTGCCATGCCCTTCCCCAGGGGATCTTCCCAAACCAGGGATCAAACCCAAGTCTCTTACATCTCCTGCATTGGCAAGTGGGTTCTTTACCACTAGTACCACCTACAAGCCCACTATATAGCTAAACAGTGGATGTTAAGGCTCTTAGTTTAAATGACCACAAGCTATTAATTCTCAAAGTATAGTTCAAAGGAATATTAGTTCTGTGATAGCCTCTTGCTTAAATAAAGTTTTCAAACTCTTTTCTAATGTAAAAATTATAAAATTCTATAGGCTGCGGTATTTTCTAGAAACTACTATTCTAAATTATTCCAACCCTAAAAGTGAAGCAGTCAAAAGAAATGAATCTGCCAGCTTGCCCTGTCCTGTGGATTTCAGATTTGATAGTCCTCACAATAAGTAAACTAACTCCCCTACCCCCTCATAATAAGTAACCCATGGAACCCAATTCTGACTCCATAATGCAACTGTTTCTTTGACTTACTTTCGTTACTTTTATTACTATAATCATAGAGAATGATTTGCCTCAGAGAATCCTGCCCCTCTATGCCTGACTGTTAAACTAAAGTGCCTTTGCTCAGAACCCTGTCCACCTGTGGATGGCAGGAAGGAAGAAAATAACACATCCCATGCCTGAGTCTTGCCAATGGGGGCCAAAGAATTGGTGCTAAAATTAGAGACAGGAATGTGGATACCCAAGGATGAAACACCAGATAAAACCAAGGAGGGTCTTGGAATGCAGGAACTGAAAAACCAGACCCTTATCATCCTCCCCTCCCCCATGTTATAACTATTAATGGAGTTCAGGTCCTCCGGAGCAGTATAACCTGTCTCTCCTTCTACCCCACAAAAGGAGAAGGTATTTGCCTTACTCTTCCCCCACCCAATATACATGCCTCATTCAATCAGCTAATGACCTGCAAGACACCTATCCCGTTCCTTGGACTCTGGGTATAGAAGTGGGCTAAAGACCCCTGTTCAACATCAGTTGTCACTTTAGCTGACCCGCTGTCCTAACAGGGTCTCCCACTCTAATAAATTTTATTCTCCTCTAATTCTGCCTCATCTCTGGAAATTCTTTTCCAATCCACACTTGGGCCATGACATTTTTGATGGCCTGAATGGGGACTTGGGGTCTCTTCCCCCACCTCCTCACTTCTCCTTTCTCATAGGGACCCTCTGTGAATAGGCAAGTGCTATGGAAGCAACTGAGGAACTCTGGCCAAGGTTACCCTCTGGTGTGTTCCAAAGGCCCCACTGCTCACTGCGCCCCAGTAACTGACAACAGAATTGGTGAAGGTACCTCCTTTAGACTCCTTTCTAACTGAGGACTAGGCCAACCAACAATATGTGGGCACGGGTCAGGCACTTAAAAGCCATTAGGGCGCCTGCCACATGAAGACGCCCATGTGAGGATAAGGGGGACACGGAATAGATCAGGCCACAAGGGCATCCACACTCTGCAAGACAAATTACCTGTACTGCGTCAGGCTCATAGTGGTTGAAGCAAAACAGAGACCATTGTCGCCTGGCCATCACCTCCCCGATAGGTTTGTAAGGCGGATTCCTCAGCCTTTTTCCCTGTCACTTTCACTTCTTCCCCTTTTGGTCCGGATTGATTTACAGGAGCCTAGGTGTTGCTCTGAGTCATCCCAAGAGTGCCTTCCACGTTTCAGGGAATCACTGAATGGCGAGTCACCCAGTTGCTCCCGGGAATGTCTGTCTGCCTGGGTCACGTAGTGCCTTAGCCGTTTGGTTCTGTCACATGGTGCTTTAGCTGTCACAAGGTGCCTTAACTGCATGGTTCTCAGGGGTCACCTCTCACTCCGGATGCCACTGTTGGGACAGTTGGCCATTTTGTGCCATTAGTCGCATGGAGAGATCACTGGGACCAAAGGGACAACTTTCTGTCAGCCGGTGACTCTCAGTACCCCCATTCTATGGCAGGTTGGCTAAGAGTGGGTTCTGGTACGTCAAGCCTCTCTCAGACTCACTGCTTGCCTACACTCCCAGAAACTGGAAAATTTTGACCCTGCAAAAGGGATGGCCCCAATACAAACTGGGGGACCCCCCAAAAAATGGCCTCTGAATGGCACAGTAGCTTTTGCCAAAAACAGAGAGAGGACTCAAAAT